AAGACAAATTTAGAATCTTATTAAAGAAAAAAAAAAAAAAAAAAAAAAGGAATAAAAGAATATTTTAAGAAAATAAATCTTTAGGAAAAACATGCTTTTCCATATATTTTATACAATTACCTTTTTTAATATTTCATATTCACATGATTCTGAATTATCTGTTATAAAATTATCTGGGGAGTTTTCATCTATTTCAAAAGAGCATTTATTTTTATAAAATGATATTGCTCTTATATTTTTTTTTAAAACAGTGCATATAATTTTTTTTAACTTTATATTCTTACATAAGTTTTCTAACATACTTATTAAATGCACACCTAATCCTAATTTCGTATAATTCGGAATTATTTGAATTTCATAAAGATAACAAATTATATTTTTTTGATATGGATAATAGTCAGGGGTTAGTCTGAAGTGTACAAAACAAATTAATTTATAATTTTGTAAATAATTATCAATTTTTTTTTGGTCATTACTTTTTATTATATCTAAAAAATTATATTTCTCTTCATTTTTCATTTTAATATTAACCTTTAAAAAACCTAGTATTAATTTGCTTTTATCATTTTTTAGTTCTTTCATTTTTCTAATATCTGACCATCCCTTATTTAAAAAATTACTTTCATTATACATTTTTTTCATATTATTCTTTGTTATTTCAAGTATTATATTAAAAACTTTTTTACTTAGATTATATTTCTTTAATTCATAAGCGTTAATAGATTCAAAAAAAACAAATTGACATATATTACTATCATTATTGTCTTTATTTTCTAAAAAATACTTTTTATATTTAATATCAATAAAATCAAATATATTGTCATTATTTTTACAATTTCTAATTAGCTGAATTTTATCCTTTTCATTATATATACTTTTAATATTTCCATCATTTATATTATTTTTTTCATTTTTATATATAGTTTTATTTTTGTTTTTAATATAACTTTTTAGAAATTCAATGTTCTTTTGATCTCTAATTTTATATTTGCTATTGTTTTCTTTTTTTTTTTTTTTATTTATTCTTTTATTAATATGTAATGTTTCCATATTAATTTTAATCAAACATGTAAAATTAATTATAACGTTTTATTAAAATAAAATTCCTTTTTTTTTTTTTTTTTTTATTAAAATATATTTATAAATACACATATATATATTATTTTACCTTTCTAATTATAAATTTTATTATTTCATAAAATATATATGCTTATAAATAAAAAAAAAAAAAAGACAAATAAAATATTACACTTAAAATTCAAAAAAAAAATTTATATATATTATAATGTTAATAAAAAATAAGTTATAACTTTACAAAATATGAACTAATGAAAGTTGAATTATTTTGATTTTTTGTTAGATTTCTTTATAAGAGGAAAAATTGAAATACACATAAATACCAATAAACATGATAAGAATATAACAATACAAAAATATAAAATAACTACAATACATCAAACTACAAAATATATAAAGAAAAAATTAAAATCTTAAAATAATAAATTATGGGTGAAATTTTAGTAAGCATTATAATTAAATTATATTTATCTAATAATTATATATGGTAAATATTAGAAATTATAATCTACCTTTTTTTTTTTTTTTTTGAAATTCCATACATCTATCGTTTTCAATTATTTTTTTACAATTATTTAAAAAACGTTAAGCAGAAAAAAAAAAAAAAAAAAAAACTTACCCATAATTTCCTCACTTTTACGAAAGTTTAATATTTTATTAGAACATTTTTTTCTTGTTATTAAATGTATTAAGGCATTTAATATTCCTGAAGTTATGTTAAAAATATTATATATTAAAAAATTAGAAAAAAAAAAGGGGACTTGATTTTTAAGTTTTATTAATTGTTAAAATTATTACTTGTAAAAATATATGTGATCCTTTTTAAAAAAAGTAATAAAACTTATTATAAAAAAAGATAAAAAATTAATAAAAAAGAAAAGTAACAATAGTAACAAAAATAACAGTTTTTTTATTAAATTTTTTTTTTTTTTTTTAATATTATTTAACACATTTTTTATATTAAAAAATATTTATACATCAAAATGATGTAAATAAAAATTAAATTATAATATTCGAATATTACAGATAAAAATTAATTTTAAATTAAATTATAAGAAATTAAAAAATATATATTTAGATAATTTTTTATTCTCAAATATATCAACTCTGAAAATAATATAAATATATATATATATGTATTTATTTATTTAAATTAACTAAAAAAAAAAAAAAAAATTAAAAGTATATTATTTATAACTCATGCTTACTAGATATATTTTTTTTATTTTCTTTTTAATATTTATTGTAAGTTATTTTTTCCTTGAATAAAAAATTGAAAATTCTTCTAAAATGGCACAGAATAAGGGGTCTAATGCTCTCATTCAACAACTACTGAAAGCAGAAGAAGAAGCAGATTTAGTAATTAAAAAAGCAAAAGATGGTAACAATATTTTAAATATTTATAATATTTTTTTAATCTTTTCATTAATTTCCAAAAAAAAAAAAAAAGAAAAAGAAATATGTCTTTATTAAAATTTTATGATAATATGTTTTCTAATTTCCATTTCCATATCCATTTCCGTTTTATTTTTTAAGTCAATTAAAATTTTTAATCTTTTTTTTTTTTTTTTTGTTATATATCAGTAAGAGCAAAAATGTTAAAAGAAGCTGAAACAACAGCATCAGAAGAGTTGAAAATTTTTAGAGCAAAAGAAAAAGAACGTTTAAATAAAGGACATAAAGAAGTAATTTAAAAAAATTAAGGAAAAAAAAAAAAAAAAAATATATATATATATTTTTTTTTGAAATATATGGTCCTTTTAATTTTTAGAAATCTAGTGCTGAAGATGAGGTTGTAACAAAAATAGAACAGAATACTAAGGAAGAAATAAAAAAATATAAAGAATTATTTAAAAAAAATAAAGATGAAGTAGCTCAATATATATTTGATAAGGTGTTCACTGTTGATTTAACTGTACCAGATTGCACACAAAAATCCATTTTATATAAACAGAATATTTGAATTTTATTATTTTCTTATGTTTTTATTTTTTTATTTTTTATTTTTTTTTTTTTTTTTGCATTTAAAATATATAAAAGCATAAAATAATTTAAAGAATATTAGTGTAAATAGCTGTATATAGTTATTTTTGTATTATTATTTATTTTATTATATATATTTTTTTTTTCTTTTTTTTTAAATATGGTAAAAAGAAAAAAAAATAATACAGTCATATATTCAATTAGTTCTACATTATTAAATATCATTTTAAAATTTATGTTTTTTTGTTATTTTTTTATATGCATATTTAAAAATTATTTTTCCTATTTTGTTATTTATTTATATAATTGAAAAAAAAAAAAAAAATAATAATAAAGATTAATATAAAATACAATAAAATTAGAATAGAATCTGACAGAATAAAGTAAAAAGAGATGTAACTTAAATACATGATATGATTATTTTAACGATACATTTCATTTTATGAAGTTTTAAGATGTTGTTAATTTACCATAAACAAACATACTAATTATTATCAATAAGAAATTTAATAATTAAGTAAAATATTTATATTATACTTTTAAATTTTTTCTTTTTATTTAAAAAAAAATGTGATGGAATCAATTTTTTTAATATTTTTTATAATACTATTAAATTATAGGGATGAAAGAGGTTTGTATTTATAATTTAGGTTTCATTGCTAACATGTAAATTGTAAAAACACTAATATTATTTGTTATTTTCTTTCAATTTGAGATTATTAAAATAAATCATAAACATTTTTTAATTTTGTGTTTTTTTAAAAAAATCTATCATTAAATATATATATATATAAATATATACTCATAATAAATTAATCTGTGTATGTAATGTACCTTACTGTTATGCATCGTTTTTTTTTTTTTTTTTTTTTTAAATTTTTT